TCCTGATAACGTAGTGCAAGCTGAATCCTTGGGTTCCTTTAAATCAGAGCTAGATAAGATTTTAACAACTCTGAGCTATTAGTTAAGTTCTCCCCAGGCGAGCTCGGTGGGCCGAATGGCCTCCTCTCGTTTGTATACTTCTAAAAAAAAAAATTAAAAAAAAAAGATCCAGAGTCAGGAGATAGCTGGGGCGCGGCCCAGAAACACAACACACTGACGCCGATTCAGGTTTCAGGTTGCTATTTGTTTTGATTGTGAAAGTGATTGTGGCAAAAAGAACTAAAACGCCTCCAAGTGTTTTACTGCTCCTTGATCTTGCTTATTATGGGGGGGGGGCTTGTTTAAGAGATAAGAGACTTTATTGTCATTGTATCAGAAATACAACGAAATTTGTTTGGTGGCTCACGGCTCAGCAGCAAAGAGGTACATTAAGGTACCACATTACTATAGCATACAGCCTTGTAGACATGGGATAAACATGAATAACCTAATATAATTATTGGTAAAATACAATATAAGAAATATGTTAGCTAGTGCAGTCTACAGTGTGCTGGGTGAGAAAATCCTAAGTTATTTACAGATTTAGGTATTTACAGTCAATGTGATTAAAGTGACCAAGTGCATATCAGCAGCAATACAGACGTGTGGATGTGACTTAAGGGTCAGTGTTCTGTAGTGGGAAGGGTGGTGATGGAGGCCACTGCTCTCGGGAAAAAGCTGCTCCTCCGTCTGTTTGTTCGTGACTTGATGGTCCTGGATCTTTTGCCCGATGGGAGGGGGACAAACAGTTTGTGACCCGGGTGGGTGGGGTCCTCGCTGATGTTGCTAGCCTTCCTACATAGTCGGCTGGCATAAACATTGTTCAGATGTGGGAGCTTGGTACCCACGATCCTCTGCGCAATCTTAACTGTCCGGGCCGAGTCTCTCCGGTTCTCTGCCGTACAGCTGGAGTACCACACTGTAGCCCCTAGCAGAGAATGCTCTCTGTTCTGCTCCTGTAGAAGTTAACAAGGAGCTGAGAGGAGAGTCTGGCTTTTTGAGTGTTCTTAAGAAGAAAAGTCTGTTGAGCTTTCTTCACCGGGTAGGAGGTGTTAACAGTCCATTTCAGGTCCTTTGAGGTGTAGATCTCCAGGAATTTGATGTCATTGGTCATTAACCCTCTGCAGTTCCTCTCCACTTGTGTGGAGGGGGGAAGGTGTCGTTTTCCTGGTTCTCCTAAAGTCCATAACAATCTCATTTGTCTTGGATGTATTGAAGACAAGGCTGCTGTCTGAGCACCACTGTACCAGGTGTTGCACCTCCTCTCTATAGTGGGTCTCATCGCCTCCTGTTATCAGTCCCACTGCTGTGGTGTCATATGCAAATTTCACTATGGTGTTGGAGGTGCGGATGGGTGTGCAGTCGTGTGTGAATAGGGTGAAACGGGCTGGGCTGAAGACACAGCCCTGTGGTGCTCTTGTGCTCAGTGTGAGAGTGGATGATATGCGGTTTCCCACCCTGACATTTTGTGGTCTGTTGGTGAGAAAGTTCAGAATCCATGAGCAGAGAGCGGTGGTTAGCCCCAGGTTGGTGAGAAAGTTCAGAATCCATGAGCANCAGAGAGCGGTGGTTAGCCCCAGGTTGGTGAGAAAGTTCAGAATCCATGAGCAGAGAGCGGTGGTTAGCCCCAGGTTGGTGAGCTTGGTTAGTTTACAAAGGTTTACAGAATTAACGGATACAGTAACAAATAGAGTAACTGCTTGATAAAACATACATCATGATTCATTAATGATGAATTAACATGAAATCAGTGTGTAATTAAGCCTTAGTTTGAGGTTAATTAATACATAAGTAATAGCATGATACTATAGTATTTGTGCTCCATCAAGTGTTATCATTATAACCAGTATAATATATTCCCTACCTATACAGCACAGTTGGTGAATCTGCCAGAACAAGCATTTCACTGTATGTTATACGAGTATGACTGCATGTGACAAATAAAGAACTTTGAACTCTGACTTGATGAAGGATTTCGAGTAAGGCACTTGATTTCAGAAAAGACTGTGGAATTTATAGCATATCCATCTATTTTCCAAACTCTTATTCTGGTGAATGTCAGTGGGCCTGGACCCCATCCCAAGCAGGGGCCACAAGCCTGGGGGGGGGGGGGGGTTTGCGCCCTGCCAGCTCAGCTCATCACAGCGCACTCACTTGAAAGGCCCCTTTCATGATAGCTAGGTCTCTAAATATAGCGGTGGCATGACCAACTAAATGTGCTCATTTTTAGTCTGGCTTGAACTAATTCAAATCACATGTTACTTCATGACATTTTACGGATCATAATTTGTCAGCAGAATTTTTTTTTAACTGCTAGATGTATCTGGAATTAAAATGTTTTATTAATGTCATTGTCTGTGAAATATACTTACCATTCTATGTGGATTAGATAAATCTATCTATATTTGTCAGGCATTTATTTGATTGTTCAAGGGCTACAAAGCAGCACTTGTTTATAAATTGCAAATTATTTTGTAAACAAACACAAAAACAAGGTGGTTGTTGGCAATAAAACCTGATATTATTATTATTATTATTATTAATAATAATAATAATAATAATAATAATCAATACAATAAAGCCCACATGAGTAAGCAGTAGGTGGCACAGTGGTTAGACCAGCGTTTGAGTCTCTGCCAAGTGCATGGAATTCCTGTGCTTCCCCCAGTGTCATCGGGGGTTTCCTGCGGGTACTCCGGCTTCCCCTCCACCGTCCACAAGCATGCTGAGGCTAATTGGAGTTACCAAGTTGCCTGCAGATGTGTGTGAGTGTGCCCTGTGATGGGTAGGTGCCCCAATGGGGTGTGTGAGTGTGCCCTGTGATGGGTAGGTGCCCCAATGGGGTGTGTGAGTGTGCCCTGTGATGGGTAGGTGCTGCAATGGGGTGTGTGAGTGTGCCCTGTGATGGGTTGGCACGCTGTCCAAGGTTGGTTCCTGCCATGTGTCCATAGGCTCAGCCCCCCCCCCCCATGCCCCTGAATAGGACAGTGGTTACAAAAATGAATGGATGGATGGATGGGGGGGGGGGGTGACCTGATAATACATGCAAAGTCATGGGATTTTGAAACTTGGTTCACATATAAAACAACAAACAAACAAATTTATTTTTGTATAGCACGTTATCACAACATCACATTGTCTGAAAGCGCTTTGCAGCATGTGTAAACAGATACAAATATACCGGTGTGGATAAGTGACAAGGTGACAGTACAGCTGGGCTGAGCGTCCAGTGAATCAGCAAGTTCAAGCACTGGAGCAAGAGCTATACATTGAGTTGAAAACACAACAACAATATAATAAGAATGATTCAGAACAAAGACTAGGGCAAAATGAACATGTATTTTATTTTGCAACACCCAGGTGACCTGAAGGGGGGTAAATAGTTCCTTGTTAGTTTTGCCACTGCTGATGCTGTTCGTAGGGGTCTCCCCAGGGGGCAGAATGATTGTAAGGCACTGAACCTGGGGGCAATTTAAGAGAGTGCTGGGCAGGTTTTCTGGCTCCCTCTGTTGGTTGTCTAGTTGTAGCTTGGCGTGAAAATACATTTGTAAGGCATGGGTGTGGCTGACAACAGGCAGTGTTCGAAGGAAAGGTCCGATTTAATTGCTCAAAAGAAAGGTCTGTTTTAATTGTTCAAAGGAAAGGTCTGGTTTATTTAGTAGGAAATGCTACAATATTGACGTCGGTGTATTGTTTTGTCTTACAATAGTTTTCATGTAAATCAAGAATAATTTTTTAATAATGAACAAATCTTTGAGATAAAGTGCAAGCATGACCTTGCGGCGGTAGCGTTTTTTTTTGCTGCATGTCCTCGTTTGACGCATGGAGTGTTGGGTCTCAAATGTAATGTGTTGGTCACCGTCGACCAACCAGATTTCACTCCGGGAGTGACGTCAGACACCCATTGACAGCGCTTCGGTTAAACGTATAGAAAACTTCCACCAGTCCATCCACCTTCTGTACCTTAGGTACCTGTTATTTTGTACAGGGTTGCAGTTGGTTGGTTATGAGTTATTAAAAAATTACGATTAGTAGAGTGGGGCTTTAAAATCACGCTGTTCAGTGTCATCAGAATACATAAGGGCAAATTGGCAAGAGTCGTGTGCGTAGGGAGAAAAGAATGCAGTTCAATACGTGTATGTTATGCAACATATGTACAGCTTCATAAATCGGTTGGAAGGTTACAAATGTTAAAATATATTAAACCAATCGCTAGTATGTGTGCTGCACATGACGAAGATTTCTGTCCCTCTCATCAGCACCGTAAATGCTTCCTCTTTAAGGTAGGGGCAGGAGAAAGTCGCATTAGAATTAAACTCCATACACCACATAAGCACTCGCCCGGGTGGTAACAGGGGAGTATACGTCTATACATATAAAAACAACAATGACGGACACACAGCTAGAGGGTAAGTTGTTTAAAATGGATTCCGCAGCGAAAGCCGCCAGTTGCTCGTCCTTCCGAGGCTGGCGATTGGCTGACATCACCCCTGACGTCACGGTCCGGCTGTAACAAAGTCTCCCGCTTATTGCCTTATGACTATGTCAATCAAAGTGGCTCACGCCCACTTACATTGCAGCATGGGCTAATGGTTATAATGTAAGAAAATACAGATACTGTAACGAAAAAAGACGTTTTCGGAGGAAGAGGAAAAAAGACATCGCACTCCAGTGATAAATGGCAAAGGTAACGTCCATTGATATTTTGGGATGTCTGTCAATTTAAAACTAGGGAAAAAACATCTGACTATCAGCTAAAAATACAAATGTTTTGAATTTGACGTGACTTGGGGGGTGTCTTCATTGCAGCATATAACTGGGGCTAGCAAAGCACCTAGACCGCTAAGCATAATTATCGTTGACGAAGTATTTTTTAAATTTGATTACTGTGTGTTTATTTTTTATTTTCGCACTGACCTGTAAGTTGATTTGCAGTTCTTAAATAAATTGTTATTTTTAATATTTTAGGAATGATTCTTGTTTTCTGGTGACAGCTAGCGAGTAATTTTAATAGGTAGTAGTATTAGTACTAGCAGCAGCAGCAGCAGTAGTAGTAATTATTATTATTTATTTGTTTATTGCTTAGGACAGTCATGCAGATAACAACTGCCGTGGTTTTCCGCAATGGTGGACTTTTGAAAGTTAAAGTAGCCTATTTCTCAGACGAATCTAAGCCAGTTAATCCAAATGTTTTCCCTAGGGTTCTATATTTATTTATTAGAACTGACCAAATAAACGTTTCATTCAAGAAATGCAGCTGGCTTTGTAGGTCGGATGCCGACGCAGATGGGTAGTACAGGTCAATCCGTGTTACTCACATGCTCGGCTGCTAATGACACCAGTATTACTACCTATTTTCGTTATTACGTGCACCCTAACCTTTTCTTTCCCGATGAGTTATTGTAATTAAATGCTTTTCTGTACGTTGCGTTATACGGGAAATGGCTCCTGGCTATTTGTAGGCTATATTTTAGCTTGTGATCTGCTGTGCCTGACGTCCGGTTATTGGACTTTTTTCTGGGTTTCTCTACATTCAGGATGCTTTGAAAATATTTTTCCTTTTCCCAGTGATTAGAAGACCGTTTTATGTAGTTTTGAAATGCGTGAACTGCGATAACGCATTTAACAGAATTTCGCTCAGGTCTTATATGTATTCCAGTTTGATTTGTTATAAGATGTTTAGCAGGACACCGCAAATGCTTCTGTAAATGTACCATTTTCTGTTCACGGGTAACTGCTGCTGTTAGTAATTAAACTTAAAACATTGTTCTTGAACTAAAAATAATGCACTATAGTAAATATTCTGTACTGGATAAGCGGTTGGATGATTTATGAAGGGGACCTCATTTTCCAACAGCCGACAACCCAAGTTTTCAAAAAGGGGCCGATTTAATAAATAATGATTAGTTTAGGTGCTTAACTTTGCAGCTGGATAGAGAACATGCCCGGCGAGAGCAGGGAGCCGGACCTAGGCCGGGACCCGGATCCGATGCTGCTGTTTAATTGCGAAATGTGACCGCTGATGTGGAGAGTTGAGTCATAGGACAGATGTGTAATGATCACGGAGTGGCGCGAGCTGTGGCGGTCACCGCGCCATTCTCCCGGCCTCAGCGTTTACCGTCACCGTTTCTCATGGGGAGTCAACAGAGCTGGCATTTCTGGGGTATTTTGATAATAAAGCGTCCCTGTTCATTTTATTATTATTTTTTTAGTTGTAGATCTGCGGTTCTTGAGAACTGGATTTGCCATGCTCTGTTTAAACTGACCGGCATTGTTTTCCCCAGCATGAGTGTAATTCTTTCAGTTACATTGCATGAGTTAAATACAAAGTGAAAAAAATGTAAGCATATACTTCTGACTGCGAGAATAAATGCAGCGGGTGCTTGGGCTGTTTTCTTCCGGATTGTGTTCGAAATGGGGATATAAAGCAGGTTTTTTGCGTTCAGATATTTGTGAATTCCCGTTATGCAGATGAAATGTGTTTTGTTTTGCCTTTTATAGATTTAGTGGTGCGGCTCCCGGGAGAATTTGCTCCTGTCTCGTTCAATCAACCTGGGTTTGCTGTCAGGATGGGATGGCTGCCTCTAAGGCCCGAGCGTGCTGCAGCTTTTAGCAAGAATAAGTTAACAGAAGAACAAAGGGAAGTCCCTTTGGATACTTACACCTTGATTCTGACAGTATTTGTCAGAATGTCAAAAGATTCAGGGAGCAGGCAGGTGGTGTAGAAGACTCCTTCTTGGCAGTACATCAAGAACTGCTGTTTTGCCTACTGTCCTGGTATTTCAGCTGCCCTGCTTAATTTTTATATATGTAAGGTGTGATGTGGCCTTCCGGCTGGGCATGAGGTTTAATCCCCACCGTATCTGGTGAGCTGTCTGGGCATGAGGTTTAATCCCCACCGTACCTGGTGAGCTGTCTGGGCATGCAGACCTCCGCAGGGGGGTGAGCACCTGGCGCTCCCAGTGTGTTATGTCACTTTGTAAAGCCCCCGGTGAGCAGGGTGCAAATGAGTGGGTGGAGAGGGGGTCTTCACCCTTGGGGGAGGCGACGTATCACAGCCCTAATTAGCCTCTCCAGACTGAGCGAAAATAGGGGGAAATATATATTTATAGTCGGGTTAAAACTGCAAGCTGGTTTCGATAACATGGTTTGAAAACAATATGGAGCAAAGTAGCTTAGAGTGAGTGCCAGTGCCGTTTGGCATTCATGGAAAACCGGGAAGCATCCGAGGTCCGGCATGGGTCCTGGGTGGGGGGGGGGGGAGGACTGACAGTGGAATTTTGGGAGGATGAGTGTCAGGGATGACGATGGATGCTTGTGCAGCGGTGTCGGGAAATAAATGTGCGAACGAATGAATGAACTGCTAAGCAGAGGCACCTCCCTCTACCCTCCCTCGCTCTCTCCTCCAGCCCCCCGCCCCCATGGCAGGCTCTCGGTTACATCATCAGTGGGGGCTGGCCATCTGTGCAGCGGCTCGCCGGTCCGCGTCCTTCTTAATCGTGCGTGTCGGTGCAAGGTTAGCACGCCCTTGTGCGCGTGAGGCGTGTGCTACAGTTCCCACCCCCCACCACCCTGGTATGTCTCATGCTCTGGCCGCTGGCATTTGCTTCAGGTATCCCCTGAGTGTCTTATTTCTGAGCACTGGGGGGCTGGAGGGGTGTGTGTGTGTGTGTGTGTGGGGGGGGGGGTGCTGACTAGCCCGTGGGGGGGCTGAGGTGGATGTAAGTAGATACATGGTCAGTCAGACCGTAAACAAACAGGGCGCCAGTTTCAGGAGACGTGCACTCGTGCACCAGATTGTGGGAATGAGAAATGTTTCCCATTTTATAGTGGGGGGGGGGTGCTATGTTGTGCACAGAAGGCCAGATGGATCTGGACATTAACACACCACCCGGTTCTGGCAGGCAGATTACATCACCCGGGTCCCAGGCCGGGACCAGCAGCGGCAAGGTGATCATTTTGTTCCCGTGCTCTTTGTGTTTGCGTGCAAATTACGAGTTACGCAGCATTGTTTGTTTTTGGGTTTTTTTGCAGGGGGGGCTGTGGTAATTTTGGAAACATGCTGACTGACCACCCTGAGGTAGCATATATTTTCCAGCTGTGACGCATTTAGACCGAAACATCTGGATGTCTTTGCATGACCCTCCACATCCGGACGTCTTTGCATGACCCTCCACATCCGGACGTCTTTGCACGACCCTCCACATCCGGACGTCTTTGTATGACCCTCCACATCCGGACGTCTTTGCATGACCCTCCACATCTGGCCACAGAATGATCTGCAGCTTCACCACCTTCTGTGGTTTTTCAAGATAAAGACTTTTCAGCTGCAAATGTTTTCTCGTAAGTAAAATAGGTTACGTGGGAAGACAGGGACTGGGGAAGGAGTCTGTCAGTAGCTCCTAAGTGCTCTTTAGCTTATTGATGAGATGTTCTTTTCTCAGTGAGACCTTCTCCACTCTGTTCTTTACCACAGCGATGAGATGTTCACCTCACCGGAGGTGGAAAGTTCAGGTCCAAAAAGTACAAATCCAGACCAAGGTTTTGTTGCAACCAACCAGTTCAGTATAAATCGTCACATTTATAGAGAACTCAGCTGGTTGGTCTGGATTTGTACTTCCTGGACCTGTCAGCCCTCTTACAGGTCGCACCTATCCAGTGGTCATCCCTCCCTTTATTTATTTACTGACTATTTTTGACTTGGAAGTCCGGTCCCTTGGAAATAAAATGAAACTGGTAAAATCTGCACAGAGTCACGATGTCCTGTTCTGAGGAGAAGGATTAGCTGAGATGTGATAAGCAGTAGGACCAGGAGGAGGAGGGGTAATTAAGGTGAGGGGCCTAAATTGGGCCATAATTAATATGGAGGGGGCAACCTTGTCATTAGCCAATGGAATATTTGAATCATTGAGTGACATGGGAGGGGGCATTCCGGGGTCCAATCAGCTTTCAGCTGAGGCTGTGGTCCCACCCCTGTATACCTGCCTGATGAAAAGGAGGCGGAGTCGGTGGGATTAGCTCTAAGATGCCTCCCCTGTGGTGACCATAGCTGTACCCCATCGAAAATCTCCATCTTTGTTCTCCGTGCAGTGACGCGCGATGCCGATTGTGGACAAGCTGAAGGAGGCCCTGAAGCCGGGCCGCAAGGACTCGGCGGAGGAGCCGGGGGACCTGCACAGGCTGCTCACCCACTCAGCCCGGAAGGTGCTGCTGCAGAAGATCGAGTTCGAGCCGGCCAGCAAGGCTCTCTCTGGCCAGTTGGAGGCACTCAGGAGCAAATACGTCATCCTAAACCCTAACCCTCTGCTCAGAATCGAGGGCGCCGTGGGACAGAAGGCCTTAGAGTCCGGCCTGATCAAGAAGCAGGGTAGGTCTGCTGGAGATGCTCCAGGCCATTAGGACTAGGCCAAGAAACACTGATATAGGTGATAGAAAGGTCAAAATGTTCCCTCTTTTTGAACAAAAGACTCTGTATTTCTACTCTGATTGTACTGAGGTATGGACCCTCTAACTCTCACTTAGTGGAATGACAAGGCAAAGGATCCTCACCATGGCGTCACTTTGTGACCCACAATGCAATGCTGTGACACGTGTAATCCAGGCACCTTCACCTCATTGGGTGTTTCTCAAAGTGCAGACCTGTCATCTTCCATTGCTGATGACCGGTTCCAATATTAAGAACAGAAGAATAGAGGATGGTAAAAATCGGCAGATGTCGTTCTTGCCCCAAACATCAATGATACATTGGTTGCATCCTCGTCAAACTAGACCAATCCCATGACTCATTGCGCCCCGAGTCTGTTCTTGGGAGGCAAGTTAGCGAGATTGGTTTTGTTAAGACCACAAGTACGATCGTTGTGTTCTTGGTATTAAGAAACACTCATCGTCTTCCTCCCCAGTCCCCGAGAGCGCTGGCGAGAGCCAGGGCGATGGGATCCCAGCCCCGCAGAAGGTGCTTTTCCTGGGCCACAAACTGTCCATGCGATGGGAACGAGTGTACAGGGTGGGGGCCGGCCTCCACAACCTGGGCAACACCTGCTTCCTCAACTCCACGGTGCAGTGCCTGGCCTACACACCACCGCTCGCCAACTACCTGCTCTCCAAGGAGCACAGCCGTGCCTGTGAGTCATGTGACACACCTCACCCCTTTGCCATGAGCTGTATGGAACTCCATATGTAGGCCACACATTTCATTGGCTGCTAGATGCAAGCTTTCTTTGTATCACCCATTTGATTGGCTGAAGGAGCAGGCCTTTATACAGGGCACGTATTTCATTGGCCAACAGGGGAAGGTTCTTGTATATACCATGCATAGTATGAGGGAAGAGCACCATTATCTTGTGCTGTTTTCTAAAATGACCTTGCAGACGTGTGGAGGACTTTGCGGGCGTTCAGCCATAGATGCCATAATCACAATAAGCTGAGAGTGCCGTCCTTCATTCCACACCTCAGTGATAAGGCCGGACTGACTCCCCTGTCCTGAGCGTTCGGGGTGAAGGATGACAGCATGTGGAGATGTAGATGGCAGGACGGAGGCTGAGGCTGCTTGCAAGGGTTGTGCTGCTCTTTTAATGCTGTTAATCAAACACACCCTTCAGATATAGTGCAGTACATGTGCAATAGTGTGTGTCTGTGTGTTTCTGTGTGTGTGTGTGTGTGTGTGTGTGTGTGTGTGTGTGTGTGTACACTCGTGCGTGTATCTCGGCCCTCACTCATCCCACGCCTCTGCCTCTCCTGCAGGTCACCAGTCTGGCTTCTGCATGATCTGCGTGATGCAGAACCACATCATCCAGGCCTTTGCCAACACGGGCAACACCATCAAGCCTGTGTCCTTCATCCGGGACCTGAAAAGTGAGCTCTCGTGGGGGGGGGCGGGGCAGGAGGCAGTTGGTGGAGGGAGAACTCAGCAGCAGAGATCATACAGAGAATCCCCTCACCCAGGTTGTTCTGTGTGTATGTGTGTGTTTGTATGTATGTGTGTGTTTGTATGTATGTGTGTGTTTGTATGTATGTATGTGTGTGTATATATGTGTGTGTTTACTGCAATATGCAAGCCCCCCCCCCACGTCGGTGTGGTGACATCAGAATGTGGGTGAAGTTCCTGCGAGGCCCTGCAACCCCATGACGTCTGCTGTCTTGTGCCCCCCCCCCCGCACTCCTGTGGCCCCCTGTTTCCGTCTCACTCTACCTGCCTATCTGAGCTGTCCACAGCAGACGTCCCGATGACCAGGATCGTTTTGTCAGCTGGAATTCTGAGCAATTTCAGGGAATTTCTATAGATTTATACGAGCGGGCAGCTGACCATCCAGATAAGTAATTGAGTGGGTCCTTTACAGCCATACTGCAATGTGATTGGATAGAAGCCCATGAATCAGTGAGGGGGCGGGGCTTGCCAGTGAGAGTGGGCCAAGATGATTGGTGGGGTTCCCTGATCCATTGTGTTTCTCCATACCCTTCTAAAAAATGGGTTGTGGACAGATCAGAACATTTCTATCCTTAGCTGGTAAACAATGAAATAACTTTGAAATAACCTGAAAATGCGTGGAAGACATTTTTGGGAAGTCTTTGGGCCGTTGCAAGAATAAAAAAGAAATGTTGTTTTTTCAGAAATCGCCCGTCATTTTCGCTTTGGCAGTCAGGAAGACGCCCATGAGTTCTTGCGCTACACCATCGACGCCATGCAGAAAGCCTGCCTGAGCGGATATGGAAGGTAAGTGTGGCACACTGCGTGTGCATGTGATGGCCAGCAGGGGGCGCCTAACAGCTTGGCTTTGATCTCCCTCAGGTTAGACAGGCAGACTCAGGCTACTACGCTGGTCCATCAGATCTTTGGAGGCTACCTCAGGTCACGAGGTAAAGGCCTGACACCTGCCCTGCTTGTAGACATCAGACTACCTTTACTACACATGTTCATGTTCTTCCTCTTTCTCCCTCCCTCTCTCTCTCTCTCCCTCTCTCTCGATCCCTCACCCACCCGGAAAGTCAAGTGCTCAGTTTGTAAAAGTGTGTCGGACACCTATGACCCTTACCTCGACATCGCAGTGGAGATCCGGGTGAGTGGGGGCTCGGGGAGTGTGACCGTGTCTGTCAGTGGGGGCGTGGTCATCCATGGGGACGTGTCTGTCGGTGGGGGCGTGGTTATCCATGGAGGCGTGGCTGACTTGGGGGCGTGTCTGTCAGCGGGGGCGTGGTTATCCATGGAGGCGTGGCTGACTGTCAGGCACCGTGTCTCCCTCACACCACAGCTGGGTCTCAAGCTCCACCTCTGTAAGCAGAAATGGCTTTGGGCAGATAATCACCTTCTGTGTCTCCTGCCTGGCTGCGTTTGTGCTGACAGTCACCCTCCCTCGCATGCACAGATGCGCACGTGCACCACGTCTGCTCCCTAAAAGACACTTCTGGTCTTTTCTTCAGCAAGCTGCAAACATCGTGCGAGCTTTGGAGCTGTTCGTGAAACCGGATGTCCTGAGTGGGGAGAACGCATACATGTGTGCCCAGTGAGTTACACCATCATGTTGTTGGTTTGAGTCCTTTCCCTCTGTATTGCTTTGCACCACGATGGTATTAGTTTGGGTCCTTACCTTCGGTCCTGCCATAGACCATTAGGGTATTACTTGTTTATGTGGTATTATGGTGAATTATACCGCATTTTGTGTTGGTTGGAGTTTTCTCCACAGTAAATGAGTTGATGCTGTGAGCCTGGCAGCAATTTAGGGTCTGAAAAAGCCCATTTAGGCAGCAGTCAGAGAGGCTGGGCTGCTTGCAGCTTTGGAAAAGGCCCCTGTAGCTTCCATGAGGCAGGTGAGGTTGAAAGAACCACTTGCTTCGGGGCCAGCATGCAGGTCTTGATTTGCACTGCTGGCTGAGTAGGTTTGAGGTCCCTCATTTCTGCCCCCCTCACTGACAGACTAACAGTGCGTTCTACACCCCTCTCCGCACCCCCACCTCAGATGCAAGAAGAAGGTGCCTGCGACCAAGCGCTTCTCCATCCATCGCACCTCCAACGTGCTAACCCTCTCCCTCAAGAGGTTCGCCAACTTCAGCGGCGGCAAGATAACCAAGGTATGTCCCGTTCTGCGAGGGTGCCCCCACCATGCGCGTTAAATGTCAGACAAACGCCCCCCCTCACCCTGGAACACGGTGACATTTCACATGTTCCTTTAAATGGACGGGTCAGCACAGTTCTTTGGTTCTGTGAGGCTTGAAATGAGGTCAGTGTGTCAGTGCTTTGGATCAGAAAGGTTGCCACAGAAATAAGTCCTCATTTGTAAGAATAGAAACTTTTATTATGCCCACACACACACACACACACACACACACACACACACATCTGTCTGGCATTCTCTGTCCCCTCTAGGATGTCGGCTACCCTGAGTTCCTGAACATCAGGCCCTACATGTCTCAAAGCTCAGGTGATCCTGTCATGTACGGCCTCTACGCGGTCCTGGTGCATTCTGGGTACAGCTGTCATGCCGGACACTACTACTGCTATGTCAAGGTCAGTGGTTGGGCCTGTGCGTGCGTGAGGTACCACGGGATGTCAGCCGGGGTTAATTAGGGTCCAGTTCATCGCAGGCACTCATGACGGAAACTGAGAATCGGAGACAGAATGCGGTACCTCTGATAAAAGCGGGGGAGGGGGGGGCAGTGGGGGGGGGCAGCTGGATTACTTTAACCGCACGCCTGAGTTTCGCACCCATCCCCCGCAGATGCTCTTCCAGCACGTGTGCAGAAACTCGCTAACTCGGTCGCTCCCGACAGGCCAGCAGTGGGCAGTGGTACCAGATGAACGACTCGGCAGTACATCCCAGCAGCATCAAGGCCGTCCTGCAGCAGCAGGCCTACGTGCTCTTTTACCTGAGGTAAGGGGGATCCCGCCTGTTTGGGGGGCCCCCTATTGGCCACAAACAGTCACTACACTAAATATGAAAATAACGCTCCTTATTTAGGAGATGCTGAAGCAACATGTTCTGCTAGCCAGCTAGCGAGCTTCCATCTTCTGACTCTTGAAGCTGTCTATTTGGTTTTTGACATTTGAGGGGAGGCAGGGGTGACTTTTAAGAGGTGCCCCCGAAACAACAAACCTCGTGTCCGTGGAGAACACGGTGCAGGACCTGCTACAAATAGTTAAACATCTTGCAGTGCTAAAACCACGGGTTAGGAGCATGACGGCTACTGGGAATAAGTGTTACGCCTGGGCAATGTTGGGTTTTACTGAATTAAATGACCTAGACGGGGTTGTGTTCTGCCCCTGGGCTGCGCCCTTCCGGTCTGGATCTCAGAATTCCTGAAGCCAAGAAGACGGTGGATGGTCTTGGGGTGAAGCAGGCAGCAATGCATTCTGGGAAGAGCAGCCTTACCCCCGAACAGCTGAAGAAAACCGTCGTCAATGGACCCCTGTCATCCCCTCAGGTGACCAAGGTACGGCTCACTGGGTGACACACCTGCTCATAGTCTCACCTCAAGGTCCCCTACATACATGTGAGTAAAGTAAACTAGATCCTGAACTTTTATTCTGAGAACGAGCAGATGACGTAGCTGGGAAACAATAATGACGCTGAATAGCCTGTAGCTACATGTCTTATTTTGATGCCTTTTCGTTATTTTGTACCCGGGTAGAAGCAGCTGGAGTCCTCACAGCTCCGAAAGGTTCAGTCTCTGGATGGTGTAGGCGGGATTGCCATGGCAACACCCAGGAAAGGTCCCCTCGGCCAGTCGCCCACACCCATTGGCTCCACCAAACAGCCAGGTGGCTCCCCATTGGCTGAGGAGCTCCTGAAGAAGGTGAAGAAGCCTCTGGGTCAGCGGCAGGCATCCGAGAGGCCCCCGGGCCCCCCCCATGGGCCGGGCCGGGTGGAAGGCAGGTGTCTGGCCACCTCAGCCTCCATGAAGTCTCTCTCAGATTCCTCCACCTCTTCCTCTACTTCCACCTCCTCTTCTGCCAACTCCTCTGAGTCAAAGGTACAGCCCCTGCTGTGAGGGGGACCCCCACTACCCATGATCCGTCCCGATTTCAGCCCAGTCTCTGCAGGGGCCTCCAGGCTGTGACTTCTTCCCTAAGAGGGAGCTGTGCCTCCCGTGGATACACTGGGAGCGACACAGATTAAGGAAAGCTGAGATAAATGTATACCGTTTAAAACAAATGCCTGTGATCAGAGCAGCCATTCGTGGCCTGAATCAGTCACTGCACTGAAGGCTAATTCCTGAAGATCAAGCATTTCTCTGTTCATGTTCAGCTGCTCACTCTTTCTCCGCTGGCTCACTGTCACTTCCAGGAGTCCGTCAGCAGGGCGGCGCCGCGGCGCAGGGATTCGCTCTGCCCACGAAGCGCGAGCTCCTCCAGGGGTGGGTCCTCGTCCTCCAGCTCCGACGAGCAGCCCCCCCTCCCGCAGAATGGCACGGAACCTGGCAGGGCCCCGGCGGAGGGCCCGGCGACTCCGAAACTGAAACCACGGGCCCTCACCAATGTGGCTTCCGAGGTCACCAGTGCCATGTCTCCCCCACCCGCCAAGAAGCTGGCCCTGTCTGCCAAGAAGGTCAGTGTGATGTGACACCCCCCCCCCCCTTGGGAGAGGTCTTCGGGGCTGAATGCTTTCTTATTGAGCGGTAAATTTGGGGAATTCTCTCTGGTAACCACTAGTGACCAGCATGTTCCGATGGTTCATTGTTCCCAAAAGAATTTGTTTCATGCCCCCCCATCTCACATTAACCCTTGGCTTTCTGATCCATTCTATAAAAACAGCAGGATAAAACATCTACCCTAAATATAACCAGAGGCTGCTTCTGCATAAATATTTTAGTTGATATGCTTGACCTATATTTTGCTTTATTATTGTGTATAAACCATTCATAGGTTCATCACTCAAAAGGGTTTTTCAGGCAGCAATTCCAATCAAAGTACATAACTGTATTTCATACTTAATTGTTCTGTATACATTCGCTGTGTCTGGCAGGAGGCAGTTGGTACACACATTTAATTTAAAAACTAGTGCCAAGATCAGTTTGCACATTTTTGGGTTTATAATTGCACAGTTTTTGACTGTGAACACGCTAGACGTGCTTCTTGGCTATTATCAGCACAGTTTTTTTGCTATATGTGAACACGCTCCTTGGGTAATACCAGCACAGTTTTTGGCTGTTTATGAACACACTTCTTGGCTAATATCAGCACAGTTTCTGTGTCCGTGTGTGTGCTTGCCTCTTGCCTAATATAAGCCTAGTTGATGTGTGTGAAGACACTCCTTGGCTAATATCTGCACAGTTCTTGGCTGTGTGTACTTGCCTCTTTCCTAATATCAGCACAGTTTATAGCTGTCTGAGAACAAGCTCCTTGACTAATATCAGCACAATTTTTGACTGTGTTTGAACAAGCTCCTTGACTAATATCAGCACAGTTTTTGGCTGTATGTACTTGCATCTTGCCTAATACAAGTACAGTTTTTAGCTGTGTGTGAACATGCTTCTTAGCTAGTATCAACACAGTTTTTGAATATGTGAACACACTTCTTGGCTAATAAAAGCACAGTTTTTAGCTGTGTTTGAACAAGCTCCTTGGCTAATATCAGCACAGTTTTTAGCTGTGTGTGAACAAGCTCCTTGGCTAATATCAGCACAGTTTTTGGCTGTGTGTGAACACAATTCTTGGCTAATATCAGCACAGTTTTTAGCTGTGTGTGAACAAGCTCCTTGGCTAATATCAGCACGGTTTTTGGCTGTATGTACTTGCCTCTTGCCTAATAAAAGCACAGTTTTTAGCTGTGTGTGAACACGCTTCTTAGCTAGTATAAGCACAGTTTTTAGCTGTGTGTGAACACGCTTCTTAGCTAGTATAAGCACAGTTTTTGGTTCCTCCCTCCTAACCCTAAACCCAACTCTTCTTCTGCCCTCCCCATTCTTGCTTTTTCTTTCTGTTATTCATTTTCATCCTTTTCCCTCACTTTCATGACTTTGTTACTCTCATTTAATTATTTTTTCGACCACCAAGTTTTTTTTCCTATCAATAAACACAGGCCAAGAGCAGTCGGGGTCCTGCCAGCAGTGAGGACCTGCCCCCCCCTCTCTGCCCCCCATCCAGTGACCCCACACATCCAGCTCAACTGTACCTTTTGAACTTTGACTTTCTCACCCACAGGACCAGGTACAGTATGAACGCAGGCCTGAATTATATGCTTTATATTAGCTGTATGTATATAGCTGCTTGCCATGAACGGTGACAAGCTGAGGGTTGGCTGACAGCTGCTGTGACATGCGTGTGACACGTGCCGTCCGCCCACAGGACCGTCCCCTTCCTTTGGCGTTCCTCCACCGTGCACGGCCAAACCCACGCGCCGAGCTCTGGTCACCAGGCGCCGACCCCCCCAGCCCGCATCCACATTACCGCCACGCCCCCACTCTGCGGCCAAAAGGGTCCCTCTGCAGCAACAGCCAGGCTCCTCAGAACCAAGCTAGCCCTGGGGATCAGTGACCTCCGCGGGTCCATCCACCCAGACGCCGCTGAAGCCCCCAGCTCAAAGTCAAGAAAAAGATGAGGATGAGGATGGACGACTAAATAGACCAAGGAGCACTGGCTGCCCCCCCTCATTCATAAATCCTTAAAAGGAAGAGAACCGGTGGCTCGGTTACATGAACCAGAGTGTCAGTAGCTTCACAGCACATGGTGATGCAGACCACAGTCAATGAGGCCAGATGAGATCTGTGCAGGCAGGGTGGTCACGCAGTGGTGGGTCTTACTCGGAGCCACAGGGGAGTAGCTTCTTATTTTCATTAAAGGAAAGTGAAAGTGAAAGTAATACAAAACAGAGAGGAACATGATACCAAACGTTGGATACTCTCTCTGGTCCAGGAAGTTCCAGCTCCCCATCTCCCTTCTCCCTTTCATTTACTCTAAATGGTTATTAACCGTTTGGCTTTTCAACACCAATGACACACAACTGGAGTAAAAATGTCGACAATCCACAATGACCCCAGAATCTGAAGATCAGGTGAGATCCCCACCACACCTGGGAGAAATTCCAAGATCCCTCCTGGTCCTCCTTTGGGAATGTCAGATGGATTGGTAACTCAGGCAACTCAAGAAGGAATATGGGAAGGGGGGGGGGGGGCTGGAGAGAAAACAATAAACCAAGCATTGGGGAATGTTCCTGTGGTGGGCTTCTGTGGGGGTGATGCGGCCTAGGGCCCTGCCACCCAGGCATGGACATCTGTAACGGTGACGGGGCCAAAATGCAAACTGTAGACCTCCAGAAGGTCCTGAGGGGCAGTGTACAAAGCAGACCTCATCACCATCCCTCCCCAGATCTGAAGACGCGTAACTTAAGTCATTTTCACCTCCCTGAGCTGCATGCAGACGGAGGCCCCGCGTTGGTTTGTTTTGGAAACAGTTCCTTCCGGAGACACCGTGGACCAGCAGAGACGACGTGGATGATGCGAATGACAAACGCTGTCGCGGCTCTTAAGGTTTCCCAGCAAAACCCCCCCGATATACCATGTCTCAGTGTGTTTCGGTCAGGACCAATATGTCAGGAAAGCAAATCAGCATTATCCTCCTTGCGCTTAACGCTGTGGCCAGCTGGCTCCTACACTAATATTTTATATTTTTAGCTTAGAGCTTGCAGGATGCGACCCATATTTCATCAGAGCCAGAGAGAAAAACATATTCTAGGCTATGCTGCGCACAAACATAATCATTCAAATGCAATTTGACTATTAGTTCCAGCTCAAAATGCACAACATTGACAGAAAGATCAGCCAGTCGTGGCTGAGGAGCATAAACTCCCACAATCCACCATGTTTCAGAATGTGACTTAATGTCACGTATTCTGTACAAAGATTCACCTTTTTATGCATTTCAGTTCTAGAAGACATTCCGTTCACTTTTCAGGGCTTTGCAGCTCTCAGTGACAGATGAAGCACTTTTCTCTGATTTAGCTCGTGCTGTGTGCCGTTGACGCCTATGCAGTCTGGTCAGGGCTGGGTCTCTCTCATCCATCCAGGCTCCATTTCCTGTGTCAGGCAGGAAGTAGGTGTGGGTGTGTGTAAGGTGGAACGCTGCGAGTGTCACGCTCGTTACAGCCTTCCCACCACATAAAAGGGAGACAGCGTTTGGTACTTGTTCAAGAAGATAAGTCAAAAACTATTTTTACGATAAAATCATAAATGTAGGTGGTTCGTTTTCCGCTAAGAAAGCACATCACCAAGCCTCCGAATATTAGTGTTGAACTCAAAAATAGAAATTAATCAATAAACTAAAACAAAATAAAAGCTGGGTTTCTTTGTGAGGGGAGCAAGTTTGTTGGTTTCTCTTGCTGGGTCCGAACGGAATATTGACTTTGAAGTTCTTCCCCAGGTTTTATGTAACTTGTCATACATTGTTGCAGATGCCTGCATGCAGCGTTGCCAAGGTAACCCTGTAGTCTGACAACAATCTACCTCTCGTTGAGTCGCCCCGGTGGCCAGATCCCTATGCTGAGACCTTCACCTCTATCTGTCTGCGTAGCTGTAGACCCCTTGCAGCCCTTATATGTAGCTTCTGACTGGAAGTTCCTGACAGCCTGCCTCATGTATTCCGCTTCATTGCCACTTAGACCCCAGTGTAATCTAGACGTAGATGTACTGTTTGACTGGCAATTTCCCAGAATAGTCCATCTGCCTGTTGGTCCCTGGTCTAGCTGAACTTGAAGAGTCGTTAGTTGCTTTTACGTCCTACACCTGAGCCGACACAGAGCTTGACGTGTCCTGGAAGACAGATGTGCGGGTTTCTTATGAGATACATAGCAGTGGCCAGAATTGTGGAAACACCTAGCATTTTCGGCATTACACTTTAAAAATTAGTACACAAATATTTCCAGTAATGTTTATAAACAATCAAAGAATGCTACAAAGATCATGCATTGGAAAATTAAGTAAGTAACTGGAGCAACAGCTCAGTAGAATTCTGTAGATCATGTTACCAGGGACTATGCTGTGAAAAGCAGGCTTCTGAATATTCTATTAGCGATTACCCTGCATACAGAATGACTGATTTCAAGAATGATGCTTATGGATTGGTTGGCTTATGACGTCACCAGAAAGCCGTACCTGGGATCATCGTCTTCTTCCAGCTAGTATTTGGGCTGTAATTCCGTAATTGTAAAACTGTAAGTGACTTTGTGCTAGAATTTGCTGCCTTACACAGGTGTGCTCAAGTCTTTCCCCGAGGGAGGGGGTGATTTCTCTGGACCTTACCTTAACGTATGCTTGCTTAAAGGCACGCCAAGTGCCCAGTATAAATACTCTATGCAATCGTGGGCTTTAAGTCTGGCGCGTCTGGCCCAGATCTGCATCAGATCTTCAGAAATCGCCCCCCGGCCGTCCCTCCTCCTCCCCCTCCTCCTTCGTTGATCTTTCTGTACAAAGAGCTGAATGTCTTTAACACTACGCGTCGTGCATCCACCCCAGTAGGTAATGAAAAAGTACGAATCTCTTAAATGTACGTAACGTAAGCAAACAGGAGCCGTAGCAGAAAATTAGGGTACGGACACAGACGGACTGCATCTATATTAGGAGTAATGACAGAAAACGCTTAGTCACCGTAGAAAACACAGATAGTGTCCTGTACCAACCTCCTGACTTTGTCTTCGGAGTGACTCCGGTTTTAATGAGTAGCGTGATAGTCGATGAACTTCCAGACAAGTCAAGGAACTGCATCAACAGGGTCTTTGTTGTGTGTGTCGTGTCTGTAACAGAGTGTGCAGATAATTTGTGCAAAATCAGACTGAGAATATCAGTATTTTAATATGGAATATATAGACATTTTTAAAACGCAGAACTTAGGCTAAATGACCCGTGAGTCATGACAGAATTTAGCGTTGTGTTACCCTTTTTTCAGCAAATGGTAACTTGTTCTTCTGATAGTGACTTGTATAAAGAAATGAAAAAATGAATAAAGAATTATTATATCAACCGGTGCAATAAAGTTGTACATTTTGTGAAAACCGAATCATTTTGGTTGTTTTTTGATCTTCGTTGGTTTCCCGCCGGAGGACTGGTTACATAAAATAAAGTTATCTTTTAGTTCCGTACATGGTGTAGTTTGGTGGTTAATGGAAGAGGAATAGGTGGTGTATTAATTCACCTATTATCCATTTTAGTCAAATATAATAATTTAACGAAAAGAAATTTAAAATGCAAATATAATACTAAAACGTATGTGGAGAATAAGTGGCTCGCGCCGCCCCTGCTGGGTCTCAAAACTTAAATTTGTCTATGAGTTTACTATAGGAAACAATCAGAAAAGTAATTTGGCTCGATACGCAGTTTAATTTTCACACAAGCCTGAGTATAAATCGGGTTATCTGTTCAAACCTGCAAATTCACTCTTTAAAGCATTAATTAGCTGACAATCCAGGTAACTATTAAAGAAGTTGGATTATCTCGTCTTGTTAACCAGCCAAAACTTCCTTGTCTATGATAAAGGCGAGTCCATAGGCGGTGGATACGGATGCGCAGCTGTGCAGCTGTGCAGACGGGGCAGGGGCAGCCCGCAGAGGCGCAGACGGCGGACGGACACCGACTGACAGAGATCAAAAAACGCGGAAAGCAGGCTGCCGGTTTGGCCGGACGAGATCGGCGGCGAGCAGGGCGAAGCACCGCGGCGGCATGGAGAAACGAGGTGCCGGTAGGGAGCGATGGCATCACTCTCAGAAACGCACCACGCCGCCGTTTGCGGATCGCCATGCAGTCCAGCTAAATGTGTGCTTTGGTGACTTTTTTGGGCTCCGCTGAGGATAACGGATGCGCAGCGTTGAATACTGAAGTTACTGCGAACGCAGGATTAAATTAGGGGGTTGGTGCGTAAGAATAAAAAAGTGCGCAGGAAACAGAAATTTCAAAAATAGCTTATGGGTTGCTTCAGAATAAAATGGCATCGATATCTATACAGCATGCGGTCAGATTTTGCTGTGGATATTGTAGCGTGGATTTTCCCCAGTTTGTATCAATGCAACTTGGCGAATGGTGTGTGAACATTATTGAGGAAGGTGTATATAGACAAGTGCAGTTTGCACGTTATATAAGGTAAGCGTGTGTTTAAATGTAATACTGACGCTCGTAGATCACATTGTCAAATTTAAGTTTAAGTTTAAGTTTGACGCTGCGGCATTACCTAGTTGTGTGTAAAGCAGGTCATCTTAGTGTGCCGTATATGGTTCCTGTTTGCTCGGTTACCTGCAAGGCAGCCTGCAGTATTGTGACTATTGATGGTGTATAGTGTGTCCGTGGCAACTTCTCGGAGTGACAGGTTGAGATTCAGTGCGCCAAAAACGGCGCAATACGAGTACCACGCCGATCTAACCTATACGTCGGAGGTCTCTTTAGCCACCGTGCTTCTGCGATGAGCTTGTACATATCTGAAGAATCCCTAGTTTAACCGAAATGAGAAAATAGCAGCATTTGGAAGCAATACATGATACATCCATGCCCGATGTGTTACTCAGATGAGCGCGTGCGCTAGGATGCCATGTTACATATGCCGATAGCACAGATATACCCCATCTGCACCGTGCTCAGATCTTCTCGAAAAGGGCTGGTCCCCCCGGTAATACTGCTCCCTGTGTGACAGGATGTGGGCTTCGCACTTATTGCTGTTGCCGTGACTTACTGAAAGTCCTCAGGGAACTTTCCGAGCCCCGGAAAATAAAATACAAGACTTCTGGCATTTTTACTTCTGTGATTACAGTTAGAGACTTTTTATAAAATTGAGGTTATCCAAATGGTGACCAAAAATAAGGTCGTTTCAGGTTTTACCACACTTTGGGGACATTTTAATCTATGCAAACTCTCTCCCCACCCCCCACATACATACATACACATGTACACACACACATTTATACAAGTACACATTTATATAGGCTTATTTGTTTGATTTTTCCAGAATTACAAATTGATAACAAATTGTTAACCCAGTCAAGAAATTTACAAGCTGTTTTTGTTGTTTTATTGTAATGCAGTTGACTCATGGTGTTTCAGGCGTGTCCCTGACCGAACTGGTGTAAGTAACTGTCACCTGAATGATAACTGCTGTATGCTGTCACTGGAATGATAATTTCCTTAAGATGTCACTGGAATGATAACTGCTGTATGCTGTCACTGAGATAATAACTGCCGTAAGCCATCACTGGATTGGTAACTGCTACAAGACAGCCAGTGGTGGGAATACTATCACAAGGTGATGCTAATGTCATCTATATAATTTAATGTGTTATTGAAGCTAAGCATCATGAATCTTTGATGTTATTTACTCACTATTTATTTGAACTTGTCTACAATCAACCAAAGCAAATACAGTATTTGCAAATGGGGCATTGAAATGACATGCATACTTAACTAGTGATATAAAATTATGTGAAATAACTGCAGCAGCATCCTGTATATCTGCCTTGAGTTATTGGCAAGTAGGCTAATCGTACTACAGCCACTTTCAAATCATTTGCATATAGTCTATTACCACAATACTGGAAATTTTTCCATATATATAGTTCATGATGGGTCCTTTATTTGCCCTTTGCAAAAGAACAGGTACATTGGAACGCGTCCGTTCTCCGAGCCCATCCTGCCCTCCATAGCTTAGGGGTCACATGCAGGGTCAGCCGACACGCGGTGCCCATGGAGCTGAGGGTTACCAGACGTGTTCAAAGGCCCACGGGCATGTGTCACATCTGCTCAGGCTCAAATCAGCCCCCTTCACATCGCCGGCACAGAGATTTATCCTGCTGAGCCACACGCCGCAGCAAATTCCAGCTCAGTGTATATTTGAAATAAAACAGAATTTCTCAGTTTCAACATCTGATATGTCTTTGTTCTATTTTCAGTTAAATATAGGCTTATATGATTTGTAAATCACTGCTTTCTGTTTTTAGTTACATTTTACACAGTGTCCCAGATTCTTTGGAAACTGGGTTGTAAAATCTTTAATGGAAGTAAGTTACTGCCTGTAATTTACTGCATCATTTACATATTTTTATTTTCTGCGGAGTAAACTGCAGATAATGATATCAGTAATAATTATTATTGTCTGTATGTGCGCGTCTTTCCATGGATGATATTGCTTTTTACTTAAGCAAAGAACCTGTATTTAAAATTTCCCGGTATTTCAGCATAATTTCTCGCTTCCTTATCAATAGGATACCGGTTTTGCGCCTGAAAACGACGGCATCTCCGATGGCGCAGGCTGCGCTGCACATTGTCCGCTCTCCAGGCAGATTCTGCTCCAGACTGCAGCGAGAGAGAGCCGCTCTGTCAATTATTCATCAAAAGGTTGTGCTTTAAAAAATAATGAAAAATGAAACCCAGCGTACTGATGTTCCTACAGCATCACTGGTCAGAAAGGATGGAAAAGGCAGTGTAGCCTGTATGGCAGCACCGCCTATTCGGGACAACGGGGTCTGATTAAACATCACCACGGGCAACAAATAACAATCCCAACAAAAAAATAAAGAAGCAGCTTGATGTCACTGTAGCAGGATCGCAGTGTCTGCGGATTTTAATCCCGTTGTGGGATGTCCCTTCGGATGTCCCCTGTCACACCGGGGGCGGCACGCCAGTCAGTCGTTATCCGTAATTAGCCGCTAGATCGCGGTTCCTGCTTTTTTCTGTCAGTTAAACTCGTGACAGGAGGCTCGGGCGCCGTAGGAAAGGCAGGTAGATCATTATGTGAAATTCCCCGGGGTTGGAAAGCATTACGGCGTCGCTGGCTGTCATTGTCGCTGTCACGATACAGGCTGGAAGGGCTGGAAGTTATACGCGCTTCTTTCTGCGGACGTTTTGCTGCTCAGCAAACAGCTTTGTCCTGGGTGGGAATAAGCGGACTTTCCGCGCGGCTCCCAAACCGGCGTGCTGATGTGTCTGCGGGGCCGAGGGCAGTTTCTTTTTGAGCGTCACCTCCTGTCTGTTTTTTCAGTACATGTGCTGGGATTTGCCCAGCAGTTATTCATTTCTTTGCACGTTTCCTCCCATAGAAATTCCTCCAATCTTGCCTGTCTTCACACCCACCGGAATGTGTCCTTGTACGGTCGTCGCTTGTTTTTTTTTATCGCAGGACTACAGTTACCTATATCTGCCACAAGATGGAGGTCTAGCTAAACAAATACGCAGAGCCTTTGTCATAGTGTCATAGGCGGGATGTTAATGGGTGGTATGGAGAAAAGCACGGTCACCTCATTTGTCGAAAGGTTTGGGTTTGAATCCCACCTCTGCTAAATGTATGTAGAGTTTCCCATGCTCCCTCACTCCTGCTTGTGTGTCACTTTCCTCTCCGGAATTCCAGTACAAAGACAGTTATGCCAGGGTGGGGGCCCAGTTCCATGGAACGCCGGTGTGGGTTTTTGGGTTGACCTCTCAATCAGCCAATAAGAGTGGGTCCCCAGGACTGTAGTTTAGAACCACTGTTTTATTATTGGCTGATAGAGAGGCCATCCCAAAAACTCGCACCCACACCGGCGCTCCATGGAACGGGATCCCTACCCCTAATTTAGGCTAATCAGCATCTCGCCTTCTGCAGGCAGAATCACTCAGGCATTTCTCTGCTGGAAAGTGAAGGCCATTGAAATGATAAAGCAGATCAGCCTCCGCAGGTTATGGCTCCAGAGATGCCGATTCTGCTTTCTGGAGAATTCCGTTACCAATATGCCGAGGGTTCAGAACCTCTCAATTCCGGAATTCTTGTTAGCAGAAGCAAAATGAATTATATAATGGACCTGTTAACTTTTGAACAAATTCTGGGCAATGATTAAATCTGAAAAACTGAGAAAAAAATTATGTTTGTCTTTAGATTATTTTTTTGGTTGTATTGCTTTATCTACAGTCCTGTAACACTGACTGTTGGCCACCTTTATCTTTGAAAGCTGCTGAATAATTTTTCAAGAGCTCTGATTGGCTGTGGTCTGCCTGAAAGAGGCAGACAGGTGTGTAC